AAATCAGATGTAATACTAAGTATGGGCTAATAAAATGAAAATAGCGTATTAAGTTTTTTGGGGGCAATCATAAGCATACCTGACAAAATTATGACTCTTTATGATGACTGCAGTGGTGAATGCCCTCCTTTTCCATTCTTAATATCTCTTTTGGGGCGCACTAGGAGAATTTCCGGTGTGCAAACAGTACTTGTAGTGTTTATCATCCTTGAAGAATGTTTTCTAAAATTAATGTGAAAATCATTTTCTGTGTATGATTCAGTTAGAAAAAKTTGCCTTTTGAATGTTTTTTATGTCAAAATAACATTTCAGTATATACCAGGAGGCAAAGTTTTGACTTGTTAGCCAAAGTATTCAACGTACTACTCAAGGCTAGTACTACTGAATCTTAAAAGCTTGCATTATTGAAAAAAAATTATACCTGATAATGAAAAACATGGAGTAAGGAATTGTAGCAACATGAAAGCAACCATTTTGGAAATTGTGTTTGCTTTTCTGCTCTCTTTTAATTTACTTCAATGTGTAAATGTTTTGTTTTATAACGTCAGTGCTCAGCAGCGCTCCTATTTTAACATCAGGATATCCTTCTGTGTATTTTTGCTGCCGAAATGTGCAGTTTCAGAGGTTTTTGTCCTCCCCAGATGTTGACGAGTGTGCAGAGAACATCAATCTGTGTGAAAACGGGCAATGCCTGAATGCCCCTGGCGCCTTCCGCTGCGAGTGTGAGATGGGCTTCATTTCTGCCCCTGACAGCAGGTCCTGCCAAGGTGAGCTGCTGCTGCTGCCTCAGCTCTGTGCTCTGGGTTTGGGTTGGCTGCTTTAAAGCAAGAACAGTCWGAAGGACATCAGTCTAGAAGCAGAGAAGCTACCACATGCTTCACAAAAGAAATTTCTTCAATGTGAATTATGTTGAAGCCAGCTTTCATCTTTTTATGAAGTTTTCCTGGTCTTCATCCATAAATCTSCATAGGAGTAGAGGTTTGCCTCAGCAGTTTTGGATTTTTTTTATTCCTTTTTTTTTGGTCACTATTGACTAGTGTGTGGAAAATCCYGTTTTTAATCACTGGTTTTTTTAGTGTGCTTACATAGGAGACACAAACTGCATTAAGTGATCTTATTTTAATGTTTTCAAGCAAATTAGAGTAGAAAAATCATTGCTATGTTTGAAAAATATGTAGCAGTTCTWAAATGCACACTGGATGTTTCTTATCCTTACCTTTGCACTCACAGTATTGCACCAGAACATGTAAGTGTGAAAGGAATTATTGTCTTTCCAGCCCACTTCAGCTATTATTCCTTTATGCGTTCTTAATACCGCTTTTTTTGTTGTTGTTGTTGTTGTTTAATATAAGAAGACTGTATAGTAGGTGAAAACATTTTAGCTGGTGTTCCAAAACTTTTAACTTACTTCATATTTAACCGTGGAAATGGCAACATCTGAGGAAATTAAAATTCTTATTGAGATATGAAAAGCAGGTTTCACAACGTAATCTATGAGATTCAGTCCATAGCGTGCATATTCTAACATTCAAGTGTAAATGTATGAGTTAGGCTTCATATATATTCTGCAGAATAATTCAGGTGCTTCTGAGCAATTACTTGTGCCACTCTGTAGTCAGATTTGTTATTACCAAGTATTTTCAATCATCTTTACTGAATTTCTTGGTGCAGCTCAGTCWTATTACAGTCATGCCAGTGGTCTAATAAAAATTCCCTGACAGATCCAATCTATTCCAGCCAATCAATGCTTTGAAAAATAATTAATTCTAATTTCTGGGATAATATGATACCAACAATTGAAGAATTTTGGAGAAATGCTTGGTATATGACTGTGATCAAGAGATCTGAAAGCATTCCATTGATTAAATTGGGCTCTTGAAGAACTACAGTTACTGGGTGCTGAATACTTAAAAGCAATTATCTTTTATTTCTTTCATTTTTAAGTTCATATATTAATTTGTCCTATGATAATAAGGGTCYTTGTCTGATTTCTACAATCAAGGGGAAAATTCCAAAGTCTTGCTTTATGCAATAATTATAACACAAATTATTAATCCACTTTCTTCAGAAGTCCCTTGAGATGTCAGTACATTAGCTTCTCAGTGACCTGATTTGGAGGTCATTCCATGGCTGTAATCCAGGGTACTTGGAAAGGYTAATTTCCAGATTAAATTGGCACTGAATTTTTGGATGTTAAGCATTCATTTTCCTTTAAAAGTGTGTCTCTCAAATTGCCGTCAGAAGTTATTCTTTCTCATAGGTTCCTATGAACAGGCAAGCCAGCCAGCTTAAAAGTAGATATTTTATTKCTGCAATAATTTTAATACCCCTTTTGCACAGCTTGTGCAATTTTACTTCATCAACAGAGCACTCTACTCMGAATTTCAAATTAAGATTTGGCTGTGCCTTGTAAAAAGATATTAATGCTTTCCACTACCCTGTCTGTGCTAAAAATAATACACTAATGCGTGCCAGAATTGCATTTGCCTTTTCCACAGCTGCTTTATTCTGGCAATTTAAAAAGTCTTACTATCAGGCGGTRCATGGAGGGTTTTTTCCAACTGTTATCCTATTTACCTTCAGCTCAGAAGTCTTTTATATTGTGCCTAAAACTGTAGCTTTGCAGTCTGTGCTGTCAGAATGCAACCCTTTTCTACAATGCACATGACTAAACCATCCAATTTTCTGTCAGTGTCTTTCAGCTTGATTTAATCTTCAATTCAGATGAGCATGCAGGCAGCCCTTTAGAAGCCTTTTAGCTCATCTGTGTGTAGTTACTACATAACTATTTAAATGTGGGCTTGAGAAAATGATAGATAATTCTTACTTCCTATATCCCTTTATCCTGTATTTTTCCTCCAAGGAGATGTAAGCAACTGATGAGTTCACCCTCTCTTTCTCTTCATTACATTTTCTTTACAAATGCCAATACACAAATACAAATTTTGTTTAATTCTGTAATTGTACATGGACTTACAAAGGAACGTTTTTTAAGTATTTTACATGTGYCTGCTTTTGCTTTTAATAGTATGGCACAATAGTAATAATAACAGTGTGCTAATGGTATGTAACTTTCTGTTCTCAACATATTCCTTTAGACACCGATGAATGTTCCTTCCAGAATATCTGTGTGTTTGGCACCTGTAATAATCTCCCAGGAATGTTTCGTTGTATCTGTGATGATGGCTATGAACTGGACCGAACTGGGGGAAACTGCACGGGTAAATCACTGYGTTTCAGAAATATATCAGCAAAAAGGGCAAAAAGGGTGGCTTCTTAAATATGCAAAGTGAGCRAAGTTTACTCTTAGATGTTTGGTGAATTATTCATAAAACTTTTCTTCAGTTTCAACTAAAATTCACTTGCTTTTGAAATTTTTTTCTCGTTTTTCATAGAAGGTAAAATTATTATTTTTTTGTCCATTAAGCAGATACATGAATGTAGACTTCCTATTTCAGATATCGATGAATGTGCCGATCCCATTAATTGTGTAAATGGTCTTTGTGTAAATACTCCTGGGAGATACGAGTGCAATTGTCCTCCAGACTTCCAGCTGAATCCTACTGGAGTGGGTTGTGTGGGTGAGTAAAAGCTTCCCGAATTATCACTTGAGAAATCACTTCTTTGAGGGAAATCRGGATAGAAAAAAATGAACTTCCATAGTGCTGCGTATTCTGTTCTATAGTTTTTTAGTGTTGTTTCTCTCAACATCAATAGCAATTAATGTACTTGAAGTGCCAATGACTTCAAGAGCACAGTGTTACCTGAATTCCTTTTTCTAGATTTGAAATTTCAGGTGAAGGCCTGCTGTTCCTCTGCCTGGATCGTTGTGTGCAGCTGTGATCATGTGTGCTTTTTATGTAGATAACCGTGTGGGCAGCTGCTACCTGAAATATGGACCAAGAGGGGACGGGGGCCTGTCCTGCAACACTGAGGTTGGAGTTGGAGTCAGCCGTTCCTCGTGCTGCTGCTCACTGGGAAGGGCTTGGGGGAACCCCTGTGAGACCTGTCCCCCTGTAAACAGCAGTAAGGAAACATTYTCCTGTTCTCCTGGCGAGCTTTTGTTTTAGAAGAAGGGGTGGAAAATGTAATTTTTGCCATGTTGCTATACATTTGTCACTGGACACAATTTCCCTGCCCCTGTCAGAGGGACAAAGGTGTGGAGCTGTGAATGACAAACATGACCTTTAGTCTCCTGTGACTTTCTTGGTGCCTGTTCTCACAGTAATAAATCAGTGCTAACTTTAAAAAAGGCACTTCCCTCTGTACCTTTAGGTAGTTTYGTGCACTTAATTTTGCTTTTACCTTTCTTCCATTAAAAAGAAATTAAGAAACTTGCAGATAAGAATGGAATAGATTGTGTCTATCTACTGGGCATTTTTGGTCAACAACTCCATGCTGGTAGGGAAATAAATTAATGTTGCTTAGAAYTCAAATCATGGCTTTAATTTGGAGGTGTTCAGTATTCTCCAAAGAAGGGTGTTGATAACTGTTATTTATGTCTAACTCAGTCATGAGTACTTTCAAAACTTTTACCCAGTGRTAGTTGTCAGAGTTGTAGAGCTTTGAAATTATTTAGTGAATAATGCARCAGCGATGTCAAGTGTGTTGTTCTTTACAGCCTCATAATAACAGGAATTCTAAGTTTAATACCTATTTTTATCGATGGTGTGACATCGATGGTGACATTTCATGYCAAAGACCTAGACTAAACAGAAAATAGGTGCCTCTGTAAGGACACAGTGTGGAAAAGTCAATATTGTGCCTGCCTTAAGAGTATCTGAGGTTATGGTAATAAAGCRGAACTCCTAATCCTTACGTTGTTTTTCTGTTAATTGAACACTTTATTTACTGTGAATAGATCAAAAACTAGAAGCCAGGTGATTGTAGGGAAGAACACTCATTAAAARCACAAGTGACATTTTATGATTCTGTTGTCATAATTTTATTTTTTATGAGATTGACGTGATCTCTCTTGTTACACTTTACTTTAGCTGAGTACAATACTCTCTGTCCAGGAGGAGAAGGATTCAGACCAAATCCCATCACTATTATTTTAGAAGGTGAGTTTCTCACCAAGTTTCTGACTGTGATAAATGGTAATAATTTWAAAAAAAAATAAAAGGGTCATCTTTGAAGAAAAACTGCATTTTTCAGAAATTGTATTTAATGCAAAGCAAAAACGCCTGCTAATGTGAATTGTAAAATAACATGAAAAGGCACACAGTAAAAGAATATTGGAGAAGTCCAACAACATTTCAGTAGGAAAATAATCTGCTGCATACCTTTTGTGTGCTTCCTTGCTATAACTGGATTTCAGAATTGAGCCCTGAAGGATAAGTCATTTATAAAAATTACAGCTTATCAGTGGAACGTGTAAGTGTCAGAAAATATTCATCAGACAAAGAAGTTCTGGTTTCAATAAATGGGCAGAAGTGAGGAACTAGATGCCAAATTCCTGTAAACAGCAGTGGAAAATGGGCTCAGTGAGCTGAAATTGCTTCTTAAGAGCTCTTTGGGTGGAAGAGAATGAACATCTTATCCATGCATTCCTGCAGTGCAATTTGGAAGCAAAAAAAAAAAAACACCCTGAAAAATCCCACATGACTGTTCAAAACTACTAGTTGGCAAAATTTCAGTGTAGTACTTACATTCTTTCTTTTCATTCTGGAACAAAAATGCAGTGAGTTGATTGATTTTTTTCATTCCCTCTTTTTTTTTCAGACATTGATGAATGTCAGGAGCTGCCTGGTCTCTGCCAAGGTGGAAATTGCATCAACACCTTTGGCAGCTTCCAGTGTGAATGCCCAAAAGGCTACTACCTCAGTGAGGAGACAAGAATCTGTGAAGGTTGAGTCCCTTGAAATCTCCTTCTCTGTCACAATGCAGTTATTATGAAAGCCCACTAATTTTTAGCCTTAAATTCATAAGTGGGTGTGGTATCCCCCACCCTTACCTAGAATCTTCCCTAAAATCTTTGTCACCAGTGATACAATTAGTGAAAAGATTGAAATGCAACAATTGGATATATTAATGTTTATTTCTACATGTTGGACCTCAGTGTATTCAGTAAATGTATATTCAGTATACTAAGGGGGTTATTAATGATTTCTGGATTTATTAATGATTTCTGGCTTCTCACTGCAACATCTTGTATCCCCTGCAAGTCTTACTATGCTTCCTRCATTTTGGGTGTGAGTCGCAGTTTAATTTACCAAGGTGAAGTAAAGTTAATAACTGTTAGAACCAAAATTGCAAATTGACCCAAAAACTAAAAAGTTACTAATTCTGCTGTGAGTACAAGATGGGAATGTCTTTTTTGAACTTGAATTGCTCCTATTTCAGTGGCAAGTTCAAGAACTTCGAGTTTATTTAGTGTGTTCTCTTGCACTTGAGAGGACTTAGGCTGGACTTAGAGGTTAAATCAGTGCTGTATTTTCTTTCAGTAAACCATTTTTGTTGTCTTACCATGGTTTATTATGGTTGTATTTCTCAGGAACATCTGCTTGTACTTGGACCTCCTCTCCTTGTTAACTGCAATATTTTTTCTTGATCTCTAGACATTGATGAGTGTGTGACACACCCTGGTGTCTGCGGTCCTGGCACCTGCTACAACACCTTRGGCAACTACACCTGCATTTGCCCTCCTGAATATATGCAGGTGAATGGAGGACACAACTGCATGGGTATGGAAATGTCATCTTTGCTAGAACTGCACGAATATCAGAATGTTTGGGGGCCTGACCCTGTGCTTAAAATCTCCTTTCAGATGAGTTCTGAAACCTTGTGTTCATTTTCACTATTTTCAGGTCTCTTATGTCATGTTGTTAGGAAAGAGATCCAGCTGGTTGGCATGCAGCATTCAAGGGCTCTTATTCCCTAACAGGGCTCACTGTTCACTGGCTTATTTTAACTGGTCATTTCCAAATTGTGGGGATTACCATACAAACAGATCTCATGAGTGTCTACACTTATTATGATTTCTTGGGAGTTCTTTTCCGCCTTTCTGCCTTCAAATGAAAACAGGAAACATGTCACATAAAGTCTAAAACCAAGACTGTAGATTATATCAATCCTTAGATTATTCTTAAATGCCAGTGGTTATGTTACATTCAGAAAACAGAGTTATTAACAGAAAACATTTCCTGGTTTGGTATGGGGTTGATATTTGCATAATATGATAATGTTGGTTACTTCGTAAGTGGTTTTGTTCTCTCGTCCAGACATGAGGAAAAGCTTTTGCTACAGAAGTTACAATGGAACATTGTGTGAGAATGAGCTGCCGTTCAATGTGACCAAAAGGATGTGCTGCTGCACGTACAACATTGGGAAAGCTTGGAACAAACCTTGTGAGCCATGTCCAACTCCAGGAACGGGTAAACCCTTCTGTGCTCACCCTGTTTTGTTCCTTTCTTTGCTTACTTGCTTCTTTGACKCATGAACCAAGGTTAAAACTTCATCCTAAAAAAACCCTTTACTGGGCAGTAATGYTGGTGTTGAAGATACTGGCTGAAAAGAGATGCCTCCTGTCTAGTCTGTCTTCCAGGACAATTAATTTTAGGAGACTGTAATTTAGTTCTTGATATTTGTCCTGTTAGAACTTGTCTATCAGAGCATCAAGACTAAGTTTCACTACTGAGAGTAGGAAACCTTTCTAGATTTTTCAGCTGAGTCTCACATCTGAGCATGATCTGCTTGGTTGCTTTCGCAATTCCTCTATTGAAGGTGAAAATTCTCTTCTGTAAATGGAGGTGAAAATAATAAAGGACAGTTAGTTCATTTTCAGTCAATCTTCATGGAGTTAATTTCCTGGAACAAAACACCCTTGAAAGCTCCACTCAGAAAAATCATTGGCGGGAAAATCAYCAACTTGGAGGGAAACCTCACATTCATTAAAAGAATCTTTACATTTGAAGAAAGAGCAAAGATGCCTAGCTAAATCTAAAAAACTTGGGTGCCTCTTTCATACAAACACGTTTTATAGTTTAATTGACTTGCCCAAGTTTACATGGTTTAGTGTCACTGAACCTAWGCCTCTGGTACTGCACTGTTTCTGATTTGGTGTAAAGAATGTATTTCATTCCAAGTGGCTTATCTTGGTGAAATGARGGAAACAACAGATAATGTAAGAAAGATTTTCCCTCACAGTAAAGAGGAGGAAAATAGGACTGAAAGATTAGAGAACAGCCTTTTCTTTTTCCTGCTTGAATAGGAGGGAGAATGAAGAAATGCTCCTAGCAGTCAGGAATGAGTGATGGAAGTAAGGMTTGAGAGAGGAAATACATATTTGCTACCACAGAGAACTCATTAAATTCTTTCCCATAGTCATTTATCTAAATATCATAAAATTGTCATCAGGGTGACAAAATGATGAGAAAAACACAGCAAACTGCTAGCAGGGATTCATGCAATTAATATTCTTGGGTAGAAGAARGAATTCTGCTTTTTAATTCGTGACACTTGAATTCTCAAAATTTTCTGCAGCTTTTAATGAATTGTTAAAACTGGAATTGCTTGGTATTGTGCAAGTAGCTATGGGGTTGAAATATTTCTTGAAATACTTCAATTTTGCCTTGTTAGTTCTTCTAAATTACTTTACTGTGTTTRCAGGCAAGGCTGAACCTTTGTCACTGGGAAAAGGAATTGTATGTGGGATCAAAAACAACTTCTGAGTGTAAATGGTTGAATGACGTTCTGTAATCAGTTTTCTGCAGTCTGAGTGGGGGCCACAAATCACAGATAGGGGCTGGTATTCACTGACCTTGACCACTTCCCCAGACTCAGCCCAGTGGCTCATTAMGAGCATTATTCTGCTCTGATGAGGATTATGTTGTTCCTCTTAAGTGTACTTCCCATGCCAATGCGTTGTATTTTTTCCCCTTGGTGAGCAGAGCCCTTTCTTCATTTTTCTGTATTTATGCTTAGCAATCAGTCTCTGATGGCTTTAAGCAGTAGAGTGTTTTATTTGGTTTTACACATTATGCAGATTGTAACCATTAACTAACAATGGACCAGGCACTCGTGGAAGTGTCCAGATACCAAACTTCCAGAAACCCTTTGAATTTTATGTCAGACTGATGTTTTTGTGAATTTTACTCACTTTTGGTAAGCATTTTTTTACCTTGGCCTCATGCCCTGAATGTGCAAATACCTGCCATGCACTTTGAAATGCTTCCTTGGCAGTAGTTTGGAAACTGAGTATTGAAAGATACTTTTTCTGGATAATTTGAATGTTGATATAATTTAAAAGGTGCTGAACAACAGCTGCATGGTTACTGTTTGCAGACTGTTCATTCAATCTGGTTGTGTCTTCATACTGGTATTGTTTCTCAATTCAACTTCATCCACCTTGCCTAGAAAACCATGGATTAATTTATTTTACGCATCACACTAAGCATTTCCCATCCTCCAGGTGGAAAAAGAGGATGCTGAAGGAGCATATTAAAAACATGTGGGGGTTTTGGAGCATCTCTTTTTAAAGCAAAGTGTCTGTTCTGCTCAGCACTTCAGTGGAGCTAATCTGAAGTAATCTCCACAGGAAAAAAAAAAAAAAAAAAGGTATAGCATTGTCAAAGAATCCTAGGTGTACTGGTAAATGATATTTATTTCTCGTATTTGAAAATACTGCTGTAGATTATATACATAGAAAAGGAATATTATATGCATAGAAAAGGAATAAACCTTAAGGAGTTCTATTAAAAAACCAAACAAACCAAAACCAAAATCCAGCTGAATGACTGCTTTTTCAAATCAGGCATTTTTTCATGAGCCAAAGACTGCAAATATTTGAGGAAAGTATGAATTACTCCTTCAATTTGCATTGTTTTATTGGCAGTCTGGATTTTGAGTACAAATTGTTGAAAAGGCAATTGCTCTCCTGAATAGATTTAACTTGAAACAACTCTTGAGTAGCTGAGAAGGCAGCAAGTRATTCTTGGGAGATTTATACATTCCTTAAAATGCACTTTTTTCTTTTGCTCTAGCTGAATTCAAGAACTTATGTGGGAATATTCCTGGCTTCACTTTCGATATTCATACTGGAAAAGCTGTTGGTAAGTTTCACCAAATCTATTTTAACTAACATTTGTTTTGCATAATGCTTTTGCACCTGCATAATGTTAACCAAAACAAACATTTCATATACTAGAATTGTTCAATTCATGTTGGAGTTATTGTGGTGACTTAAATTGAGACATTTTCACATAAATCYTCATGTAAAATATTTTTTTATTTCTACAGTTTCTAAAGGTATTTTGYTCACCTGCCATCCTAGCTCATGATTTTGAGATTTAACCAGTAAAATAAAMGGTTTTACCTTCACAAATATTGTTGGACTTCTCTGCACATTTGTAACAGTTTTACATCATGTCCAGTATTTATACAGCTCTATTTTGAGCACTTCCTGAGCTTCATACGCCATTTTCTGTCATAATGAGCATTTGTTTGGATTTATGACCTRTGTATAATTTCTGTAGATTAAAAGGAACATCTCAGCTCAGTTTTAAACACAGAAAATGAGAATCCAAGCAGTGTGTAAAGACATGGCAAACTGTACCTRAAGTAGCTTGTCTCCCTTTTAGACATTGATGAATGTAAGGAAATCCCAGGAATCTGTGCCAATGGAGTTTGTATCAATCAGATTGGCAGCTTTCGCTGTGAGTGCCCGACTGGATTCAGCTACAATGACCTGCTCTTGGTCTGTGAAGGTGACTTGAAATTACGGTATTTTCTCCTTAGTTGCCATAAGCTTATCCTATTTAATTTAATGTGATTTTTGAAATCTAAGACAGATTGTGAGCTTCAGTGGGGCTCAAGGTTATATAAATCTGTTTAAGTGCTTGTCTTTAATATGTATGCATGTGCACTTAATAAAATTTGTAGTTGTTTTCTGTCAAGCTCCTAAACAGGTAGTCAATTAAAAACTTTTAGTTTATTTTAAGGGAACAAATTTAATTCTTATTGTTAGAACTTTGCAAAGAAAAGTTTATTGTTTATTTTCTCCAACTCTCCTGCTACAGTTTTAGAGGCAGAGATACTCAGAGAAGCTAACAAAGTTTTGTGTGCCCTAAAGGCAGTAGTTTTGTCATTTGTTCAAGAATTTTGTGCTAACATGTGCAGCCTAAAAAGTTGCAAACTTTGCCACTTACTTTTTCAGTTCAAAGGCAAAGAGAATTTTTTTTTAATACAAAACCAAATTTATTTCGGCAGGTGTCCAAAATTGCAAAGTGACTTTGATRTGTGATAAATTTGATTAGTGGGTTCCTCGTTGATCCTAGAGGTGGCACAGATAGAATTGTGTTGATTTTGTTTTTGTGTGCAGTCCCAGCACACGAGGCTGGAGGTCAGGCTGTTCATGTCTTGTAGGGGAACCGAAGTTTCCTCTTGCACAGACAGACAGTGCAGTGTAAATCTGAGGCAGGAGTAGCTTCAGACTCTTGGTGTTTCAGATATTGATGAGTGCAGCAACGGGGACAACCTCTGCCAGAGAAATGCTGAGTGTATCAACAGCCCGGGGAGCTACCGCTGTGAATGTGCTGCCGGCTTCAAACTGTCACCCAACGGTGCCTGCRTTGGTGAGAAATTCCCCTCAATTTTCTCTCCTGTTTGTACCTAACCAGTGTGGGGGATATGTGTCCCTCAGCATAAGTTGTTTTCYATTACCCTGTGCATTCTGCTGAGCCACATTTCTCAGTAAAAGGAAAGAAMATACAGGGTAACATTCTTCAGGTATCAATCAAATCCTGACAGTAGTTTTAACCTCAAGATGCACAGGCAAGTACTTCCCRTAAAATGAAGTTCTGTTACGATTCAGATTTGCTTACAGATAATTTTGAATCTGGTTTTAATAACAATAATAACAGACTGTAAAAACACTATTGTGTAAAACGAGGAAATAATGAAAGCCAGTAACTTGCACCATCTGTTTCATGTTTTTTATCATAGATCGCAATGAATGTCTGGAAATTCCTAACGTTTGCAGTCATGGTTTATGCGTGGACATGCAGGGGAGCTACCAGTGCGTATGTCACAATGGTTTCAAGGCATCCCAGGATCAGACCATGTGCATGGGTAATTAAGTAAAATGCTTCTGTGTGTGTGGTTTGTTTGGCTGTGGACTCTTTGAACTGAGAGAAGATGAGTTTAATTTTTTCCCATGGTTATACTGACATTAACAGACTGATTCACACATTTCTGGATTTTTTTGTGAATAAAGTYTGAAGTTGTCTTTGGAGAGAAAAGAAACATCTTGAGGGAAAAACGCAAAACAAGTTTTCTCAGGATGGCTCCATGGTACTGAAGAAAAACTTCCACAGAAACACATCATCGTGGCTTATTTCACAGAGTTTTATAGGATGTATCTCAGAGTGATATGGCTTGGAGCTAAATAAACATATGTTTCAATTATTTAAATCTGTTGAGTTCATGTGTCATTTAAAAAACAGAATCCTCTTTTTATTGTAACTTCATACTAATTGAATGTGAAAACAATGATATGATAGAGATGATAGAAGAAATGATGGAAAAAYAAAAATGTTTTTCTTGTTCTTTTAGTTCATAATCAGTTCTGTAGAGTTTTACAAAGAAAAGGTGATGCATTTCAACTTACAACAGATATTTAAAACCTATTCATATTGTAGTACATATTCATATGTACCTAGAGTCTTCTTGTATTTAAACTAAATCACATTTGTCAGATTATCTGAGGAAGATATTTGGGAAAGTGACCTTATTTGACAATGCATAATTTTGAAGAACTAGCAGGACGAAATACCTTCCATATCCCCTTGACAATCCAGAAACTGGAACACAGAGCAGAGATAACTGAATTTTAGTGCCTTTTAAAAATGGATGTTTGCAAAAGTTTGTAAGCAGTCTTTGTAATGCTGGATGTAATACTGACATAATGTGTTCACATGTCTAAATTGAACTGTGAATTGCATTTTCAATGGCAATAATTGTAATTGTGCACAGACTGTACATTGACCCATACCTGGGAAAATCAGTTCCCACATGCAGTTTGTTTCTCCTTGCAGATGTTGATGAATGTGAACAGTATCCGTGTGGAAATGGAACCTGCAAGAACACGGTTGGATCCTTCAACTGCCTGTGTTACCCAGGATTTGAATTAACTCGTAATAATRATTGTATGGGTAAGAGACATAATCCAAGCTTTTATTTTTATTGCTGCTGCTTTGGAATGCCAAGGAGGATGGCGTGCAGTTAAACAGAAGAGATGTCAGGCTGTAAGGGAAGTTTATTGAGTGCAATAGCTTGTACTATTACCAGTCCTGGAGGTTAATCCTTACTGTCATGCTTTAAACTAATTTGTTTTTATTTTTTTTTACCAGCCAACTTGAGATAAAATAAATCCTACATCTCTGGGCCACTGGGGTGACCTTTCAGTTCACTGATGTTTCAATGCATCTCTTGACTCCTTTGTATTTCCTTGGTATTTACAGCACATCTTTGACTGCAGACACAGTCCACAGGCACTACTTGCAATGTGTTCTGTCCCACCACCAGTGCTGCCTCGTGAATGTAAAATCATTCCTTCATTTCACCATTTTGCTTGACACTTGCACAGGGTCTGAAAGAGGAAACAGACCAGCAGTAAAAAAGCCAGGAAATGTGATCTGTAACCTGCCAGTTCTGCCCTCCTAAAATGAGCAGAGTTATGCAGAGCTGACACAGGTGTTGAAATTTCCCATTCTCTAAAGCACAGGGCACCAGAATATCCAATGGGTTTGCACTGTTTGAATTCTTGGATACTTTATTTCCTACTTTAATTCCTGGGTACTTGTGATAAAGCAACCAAAACCTCCTTGGGTTGATGAGCAGACTCRTAAACCTCAAGATCTTATTGCTTGTGTAGAGAATAACCAAAAAAAAAAAGTGGGGGGCTTTACACTCCTTTCTGGTACAGAATGAAGACAGTAAAATCTAATGGTTCCTTTCAGCTTCAGGAGAGAACTAATACAGCTAAAACAAAACCATTTTTTTTGCCCAGAAAAGAAAAAAATAAAGTAAGAGTCTGCTGCATAGCACAAGTTCTTGCACCATCATGCAGATCCAGTCTCCTATTCATTTATTCTTCCTCATCCATATTTTTCTTTATGCAGTGCTTCTTTAAGTCTGCAATATTAAATTAACCCTACAAAATAACAAGCATTTTCAAACATCATTTTCAGAATTGTTATGAAGGAGAAAATAATTTTGTGGAAAGCAAAGTACGTGGTCCAAAACTTGATWTTGGCAGGGCAGGATTTTAGGAGGAAGCTCGAGTGCATAAAAATCCAGATAAAACCCAGATTTTATCAGATGTAGTAACTGAGGTAATGCTTTAAGCCTGGCAATTATAATACCCTGTAAAAAAGTGCGGTTTAACTAGAACATACACCTTAACGCTCGAGTGATAATCACTTTCCAATAGCTATTCCCTTGTTGCTGCAAAATTTACCTTTTCCACRGAAATATGTATTGAAACTTGAATTTATAACATGCTGTTTATAACATACTGTACATGCTGTGCTGGGACTCTAACCTCACTTCCGGGGTTTAATTYTGATCTTTTTTTAACAGATGTTGATGAATGCAGTTCCTTCTTTGGTCAGGTGTGCAGAAATGGACGGTGTTTCAATGAAATTGGCTCTTTCAAATGTTTGTGTAATGAAGGATATGAGCTTACTCCGGATGGCAAGAATTGTGTCGGTATGTATGAAACCACATGAGGATGGTCTAGTAGTGATAAGCTGAAATAAACTGTAGAGGGAAGCAACACGGTCTAAATATCTAAATAAAAATATCTTAAAATAAAAATATCTAAATAAAAGAGAATGATAGTGACTTAAATGAAAACACAATAACAGGCTTTTTTGGAATAGGTGTTGGTCTTCAAGCAGGTAATTGGCTTAGAAAAAGAAAATGAGTACAGAATCCTTCAGTCTTTTTCATGTTTTKTTACCATAAGAATTACAAGATTCTAAACCTTTTTTGGTTTCCTCTGCTCTCCAAAGATACCAATGAATGTGTGGCACTGCCTGGTTCCTGYTCTCCTGGTACCTGCCAGAATTTGGAGGGATCGTTCAGATGCATCTGTCCGCCGGGTTATGAAGTAAAAAGTGAAAGTTGTATTGGTAAGGCAAGTTGTAACTGTTGTTTCTGAACAATTCAGAAATACGTACCTGGTTCTAATTTGGTGCAAAGCAGTTGTATACCCTAAYGTTTGTGAATGTTTCCTGACTTAAAATCAAGGTGACAGGAAATAGGTATGAAAAGTCTTCAAGAAAAGGTTTAAAAAAATTATGGCAAAATCTTTTGTGCTACATTGCACTGTATTTAGGGCATTTATTTCTTCATTATGCAAACAAAAAGACTTAAAAAAAGAATAAGTATTTTATCTTTCATTCACTTAAAAAAATAAAATTCATGAATTTAAGCAAACATGCTCAATGAATTTATATTACTTTTACAGAAGGTAATTACTGGCAATCCATGAACTGAGCACTTGGTTTCAAAGGGAAATGAAATTTAAAGACCTTGATAAAATTATGGCACTTATGGAAAGAATCAGTTAAATTGGTTTCTTCTAACAACTCATTTCTGATTTTACCTTTTGTATAATGTCTCTCAAGTGCTAAGATTCACAGGAGACAGAGACTACAGCAGACCTGTGATCAATTTTTATGTTCTGGTTTGTTCATAGAGGTCTCACTTAAAGCCCTGAATGTCATTCAGGAGCTGAGTGTCACTCACTGAGCTAAGATTTGCTGTGGCAGAAAAAAAATCAAATAAGTCCAATAAATTACAATTCTCTGTTCCAATACAGCCAAGCACAGGACTCCTGTGAATTTATTGGGCATTTAAGATTTGACTTACTGCCATCTAATCCTTGTGGTTGCAGAARCAAGAACCATTTTGAAATTTTTGTCTTGAACAATAGGATTTATTTTTCTAAGCCCCAGAGTTCTCTCAGCTACTTGTATCATGCCACCAATATTCCATTTCCCTGCCAGCTTCATGRTTTCTCTTGGCAGCAGCTGACTCCATATGATCAATCATGTTTGAGGTGAATTCAAATTACCTACAGTTCTAAAGTCATGAATATAAACGAATTCTGGGTTTCCAGGAATGTTACTTTACTTACAGAGACCACTTTATTACCCTCTCAGAATCTCTTTTTGTTTTTGAGAGCATCTGCCAGACAGATYTTTGCCCAAACTGAATAAAAGGGGCTTGCTTCTTTTGTCATTCTGCCATGTGTCCAGAAAATTTGAAACTGGAGTTCCTAGGAAACGCCCAGATGACCACATGTAATTGCACTATAACGTAGATTAATATTTTGACAGTTCTTGCAGCAAATGTTCCCCATTAATTTCTATTGATGTATGCAAACARGAATTCATTGCTTCTGTCTCTAATGTGAAGGTTGGCACCGGTTAGATTACTTTTTAAGCTCAGGGTGATTATATGCRGGAGAAACCAGAACAAGTGGGGCCACAGAAAAATTCTTAGCTTTCACCTACCCATGTGATAYATTCCCTTCCAATTTTTAGGAATAAAGGGGAAATGAGTTGTTTACTTCCACAGGCTGGCTACTTGCTTCTCCATCATGGCCACAGAAAGAGTTTTAGCATCAAGACATTCACTGAATTAATAATGAGCACTTCAAAAGAGCAATTTTCTGTCCTGTGCAGCTGATTGGCTGAGCTTTGTTTATTAACAACTATCACATCAACTCCTCCAAAATAAACTGACTAGGAATGCTTCACACAGTAGGAGCCTGTCCATAGGAATCTACTGCAGATTTCAGTCAAATGCCAGATTGTGCTGCAGTGATTTGTCCACGTGCTAATAGCAATTTCTGGAAATAGGACTCAAGGTAATATTTCTTAGCKTTCCCACCTGACTTCTTCCATCACTCCCCTTACATTTTCCTAATAGCAAAGGCTGTATTTCCACTGTTTCCTTATCTGCTAAATACACAGTCATTTTCTAAAACTCAGTATAGTAGAATTTCAGTTAGTATCAGTAAAAATGTTGCTGAATTTGAGACTCAGCATCCATGAACCTTGTTTCCTTGTTTTCATGAAGAAAACCTGTTCCTGCCTGTACTTTGGTGTTAAGCTCAATGTGGCTTTCATTGTAGAATGCTTATAGAGCCACAGGCCTCTGTGAGACTTCTTCCAATAATCCTTGATGAAAGATTCAAAAAGCGTTGTACTTATTCATAATTTATCAGATTATAATTATCTTTAAAAATTACTTTAGCAAGAAACCTTATATGTTCTGGCAGTATTTGAAATATTAAGATATGAAAAATATGAAAAATATGAAAAATTAGGATAGAAAAATATGAATGAAATATGAAATTTCACCAATATGAAAAATTAAGGGTTTCTTAGTGTATTATTTTCCCACTTTTTCTGTTGTCTGTGGAGATGGGGTATGTACACCTGATACTGTTCAAACTGCACAGTTTTACAGACACTTGATATTTGTATTAACTACTAAGATTTTAGCCTAAGCTTTTGATAATTATTTAATACAATATTTAATTATATACATCTATTAAAAAAAAACATACAGAATTCAATAGCAATTGAACAGGAACACATTTTAAGTAAGAGTGAGAGTGGCAGTAAAAGACTGCTAAATATAAATATAATGTAATTACAATTAAAGGTATCACTCTACTAATAACTAGCTATAGTTTCACAACCAGAATCTGACAGCCACCGTAAAAAAAAAAAAAGCACACCTTTAATAAAAACAACGCCCACCATATAGAGTTTTAAAAAAACAATCTTTGGATGTTTTATTCTTACGAAAAAATATTGCTCTTATGGGAAGTATATTCKGAAGGCATTTACTTAATGTTTATATTTTTAATATAATAAAGAACAGAGAATTGTATTTAGAAAAGAAGGTGTATGCCAGTGAGAAGCTCTGATTTGAAAGAGTTAATGAAACTTACTGKCTGATTCTTCTCTTGAGCACTTTACTGGAAGCTGCTGAAGTTAAATCAATAAATACATAAATAAACAGTCTTTCTTAACCAAGAAATTCACAGCAAATTATATTATGGTGAGTCTCTACTCCATTGCTTTACAGATATTAATGAGTGTAACGAGGACCCCAACATCTGCCTCTTTGGGTCTTGTACAAACACGCCAGGAGGTTTCCAGTGCATCTGTCCCACAGGTTTTGTGCTGTCTGATAATGGGAGGAGATGCTTTGGTAAGTTCATTAATAAGGAATGCAGTAACTCATTCTAAAAAATAACAGATAYTTTACAGAAATCCCTTCCAGTTTATATCTTTATGAGGATTGCAAAGCACTTTCAGAAAAGCATGAAAAATACAGATCTTAAATTTTGTTTTGGGGCAGACAGTCATCATCTAACCAGGGAAGAGGTGCTGGCTCCACATAACTGCATTTTCTGCTTTTAGATACTCGTCAGAGCTTCTGTTTCACCAACTTTGAGAATGGGAAGTGCTCGGTGCCAAAGGCTTTCAACACCACAAAGGCCAAGTGTTGCTGCAGTAAAATGCCAGGAGAAGGATGGGGTGATCCTTGTGAGCTCTGTCCAAAGGAAGAAGAAGGTACAYATCAAGATTTAAAATTTGTAGGTGGGGGAAGAGGAAGAGCACATTGGTGCTGTACCTTTTGGTCACTGGAAAGAGAGATCTTTGTGGCATTTGCTCATAGTGGCTTTCCATAGAATGATTTTTCAAGTCAGCAAGAGGAATAAAATTAAATTGAAGAAACCACAGACAAAGTGAACTACTGACTTATGGTTTTGCTCTGTAGAAACCTAAACTAGTAACCTTTCTGGRTTGCTTTAACAATCTGTCACGGTTCTCTCTCTCACTTGTTCTATTTTTTAAAGAAAATATGTCTCTACAGTTGCCTTTCAGGACCTGTGCCCATATGGTCATGGAACTATTCCTGGAATTGATGACACACGTGAAGGTGGGTATATTCTGATAATAAAATGTAAATATTAGTACTTGAAACTATACTTSGGTGTTACAGTATGTGACAGCTTACTCCTCACAGCTCCTGTTGACTGGAGGCTGACCTGTGAAATGTGTCAAAGGAACATTTTGGAGGTTACATGGCTTGAGACAAACAGAATAGGGTGCTTAGGCTTTTTTAATTTTTTTTTTTAAGACTTGAAATGCATCAGCTAARTTGTTCCTAATATCTTCCTGGTTTCTAGATGTCAATGAATGCCTTGAAAGCCCAGGAATTTGCTCCAATGGTCACTGCATCAATACTGATGGATCATTCCGCTGCGAGTGCCCCATGGGATACAACTTGGATTTCACAGGAGTGCATTGCATAGGTGTGTGCAAGTTATAGGAGCTGGAACTTGAATGTGCAACACAAATTGATGTGTTCCGGTTCTCTTCACCCTGCATTTGCTCATTTTGTACAGATACTGATGAATGTTCCATTGGCAACCCCTGTGGAAACGGAACGTGCTCTAATGTGGTCGGCAGCTTTGAGTGCAGCTGTCATGAAGGATTTGAGCCAGGCCCAATGATGAATTGTGAAGGTAACCTGTCCTCTTTATTCTTTTTCATCCTTTGGTTTTTGTCCTGTCCTCAGTATTCAAATTACTTTATTAGCCATCTTTTTCATACTGTAATAACTCAGAAGAAAATAAAGTTTCTGTACTTCAAAATTTATTATTGGAAAATAAATCTGAATTGATTTAARCAGAACTTTCAGTTTATCACATGACTTCTACCGTGCATTTTGGATCATTCTCACCAGTTTTGTATTTTATGAATCATAATTGTTTGCTTTCTGAAGCTGACATTTCTCATCACACAAAAGTACACTAAAAACGCACATACAATAAAAAACTGAAATAGGACTGTCCTAAATTGTCATTCTAAGCTCAGGTAGTTCTATATATACTATGCCATTATTTTAAGCAGAGTATTGCTTAATTTGCTGTAGTTACTTAAAAGATAACCATCTGAATTATTACGTGTCCGATCATTTTAGCTGATAAGAGGAGTGTAGGTGTAATAAAACCTTCTCTGTGCATGTTTTAAAACTTTAGTAGAGAATGTTTCTCTCTTCTCAGATATCAATGAGTGTGCTCAGAACCCCTTGCTGTGTGCTTTCCGTTGTATCAACACTTACGGTTTCTATGAGTGCACSTGCCCAGTGGGATATGAACTGAGGGAGGACCAAAAGATGTGCAAAGGTAACAGCTGATGTATAAACTCCTCCCCACTTCCATAATCCGAATATTTCTGTGCATCTTACATTCATCCTCTCAGTGGAATGTAGCAGACAGCCCAGCAGCTGATGATTTGCTATTTTGGAACTCAGAAAAAAGCAGTGTTTAGTGTTTTTGTCATCAAGTGTAACCCTTGATGGGGACTGCAAAGCCAAGAATGCCACAATGGTGGCRTTCATCTTTAATGTGACAAGATGATACAGCTCACAAAGATTAGGATGGTCATAGATTTTGGACTTTTCCTTCAGTGCTTTTACTAAGGAAAGGCTTTACRTCCTTTCTCTTGAAGTTGGCTTTAGGAACTGAAGCTCCTGAGGAAGTTCAAGCACAAAATATATGTATTCTTTTTTCCCAGATCTAGATGAGTGTGCTGAAAGTCTCCATGACTGTGAATCAAGAGGCATGATTTGCAAAAATCTGATTGGTACCTTCATGTGCATTTGTCCTCCTGGGATGACCCAGAGACCTGATGGAGAAGGATGCACAGGTAAAGCTTGGGAAGGATGAAAGCATCTCATGAAATATATGCAAGCAAACGGATTTAAAATAATTTGTATATGTATATATTAAATCAGAAAATAACAATTCATAAAGGACACTTAACATACYTGATGATATTCAGCATCTTAATTTTTTTTTGTTTCAATATAGCTCTAAATGACTAATAAGGATTTCAGAAGAAAAACTCCATTGCTCTACAAGAATATCCAAAAGTTTTTCAGATAGTTGTTATATCTAAAAAATTAATTTGCCAAACAAATATGGCCTGAGTTTATCGGTAGGAAGCAAGATTATCATAAATAAAAATTTATATTTCCTTTAGCATTAATACAAATAATATGTCATTTCTTTGAAGAATTAACACTCTAGGATTCTGAAACTACCTGTGAATGCCATAAAGGGCAACAGATATGGAAACTGCCACAGTTCAAAACAATTGCCCACTAGAACTAAACAAACACGTTTTCTCCATCATTTACTCAGTTAGTTGAGGGGAAGACCATAGCTATATTTTAGCAAACTGTATTTTCTTCTGGTATATAGATAAAACCACAAGACTATTTCATAGTTCTCTGGGGGGCAAAAAAATTAAACACACATCTTAGTGTTCTAAATGGAAATATTTTACAGCAATGTTCCTTAAGCAGGAGAATGACTACTCCCCTTTAGAGATCATAATGATTTTTTTTTCAGGGAAAATAATCTCTATTAAACAAGATTTTTTTTTTTTTTTTCAAATGTATTCAGAGGTTCTTAATGACTACAAAGTGAAGATTTGTCTCTCAGATTATCCATGTATTCCAAATATTTCTTGCCAGGTAAATGTTGTGACTGAAACTTGCTCTCCTGCAAGCATTTTCTGCTTCTTCCTGTGAAGCATTTAAGCTTTCATCCTTGGACAAAGTACAGAAGGAATGGAATAGGACTACATTCRTAGAAAAGTCCTTTCCAGGCCTAATCAGTTGTTAATTTTTCCAGGTCTTACAAATATTTTTCAAATAYTATATGGAATATCTAATGTGTTCTAGAAAGGCTGGCATATTTTCTTGTTMTTATTATTAATACGAATGTATTTTATTTTTATTCTTATTATTGTTGCCATTCATATGTATATATTTGTTTTTATATTAATACTACATTTTTTGTAAAGATGAGAACGAGTGCCGCTCCAAGCCAGGTGTCTGTGAAAATGGTCGTTGTGTGAATGTTATCGGGAGCTACAGATGTGAATGCAACGAAGGATTCCTGTCAAGTCCATCAGGAATTGAGTGTCTCGGTAAATGTCTTTTTTGTTCACATTTCATCTCACATTACAGTGTAAATGCAGAGAGAAAATTTGGCTTCTGAATAGGTAAGAACTCTCATATCTACAGAAATTAAATAATTTTGCTCCTTAATGAAACAGTTATAAAATACTAAATTCAGGCAGTGATTATGAATATAAAATACTAAGATTTTACCAGAAAATTGCAAGATCCTTTTTTTTGAGGCAGGCCTGTATTTTCTTTTCAAAGCATTTATATTTGTCATTTGCATCGTAAAATTCATCATGCAGTTTCTTGGAGTCAAAAAGAACTGCAGAAATTTATTTTTTCTTGACCAATGTTCAAGTGTACATCTAGCACCGAAGGGGTGTATTTATTGGTATTCTTGCATAAAAAAATAAGTGAATATTTTCTTATGTCAGTAAAAGCAGCTCCCTGTAAATTGTCATCAGGAGTGAGCTGACTTCATGGCAAAGCAATAACATTAAAGTGCAGAGTATTTCATACRGATTGGAACCAGATGGGAAGAGAATACAGACTGCAGTAGTCTGTTAGCCCCAGCCAGTTATTAATTCCAAGGAAATACCCTTTTCGGAAGTCATTACTGCTTTCCTATATTTAATATGTAATTTTCTTATTTTTTTTTGTTCTTTGCTGCTCTTCCTTTCAGATTCCCTGGGTTAGAAATTACAGTGAAAAATTAATCTGAAACACAGGATTTCTTCAGAATTATAGCACAAACATTAAGCCACAGATTACACTGTTTTAAATACATGGTGCAAACCTTTATACTCTCCTCACATTAAAATTAATTGCACATCTCAAATTGGGGACAAAGCATTTATGTGTTCTTCATGTGATAATGTCCCTAAAAATCTGCTCAATATTCCTCTCAGAAGAGAAATCTGCAGTATTGCAAATTACTGCAGCAAATACTGTGTTTCACAGAACTACTCTTGCAATGAGGAGTTTATTTGATGTAAATAGTTAAGTTACCAGTCAGACAAATTAAGTCTTTCCTAAAGCCAAATTTTGCTTTTTGCCTAATTCTTGTAAGAAATRTAGAGATTCTTCTCCTCGTACTTGTAAAAGAGGTCAGCTGAGCACTGATACATCAACAGATTCTGAGGRTCCAGAAGGATTTTAACTAATAAAATCTACCACTATAACAGTACTGAGTTGCAGATACACTTTTATGTTAAAATGATCTTTTTATTAAACTACATCAGGATAGTAAAAGATGATCAGACATGTTAATTTAGCCAGTAAAACAAACAACACAAACTTGTAACCCCACTCCAAATAAAYCTTTCAAATGCAAACACAGGCAGCTGAAGTGGAAGCTCAGTTTTGCCCACAACCTGTTTTAYCTCGAAGGGCACAACTTTCCTACAAGCAAAACTCTTACCCAACTCATGCAGGTACTGAACAGTAGGGACCTCTTGAATATATTTGGAATGGTAACTATTACYAGAACATACAACAATTCTGAAAGGCTAAATCAAGGTGGACTTTGTGATATCTAATAATTGTTTTTTTGTGCTTGCATATATTGACTGAGAGACAGAATAACACACCGGATGCTTAATGGAGCAAGTGCTCATCTCCTCTGTTTCCACCTGTCTCCTTCCTCCTGACAGATAATCGCCGAGGGTTTTGCTTTGCTGAAGTTCTGCAGACCATGTGTCAGATGGCTTCRAGCAGCCAGAATCTTGTCACCAGGTCCGAGTGCTGCTGTGACGGAGGCCGGGGCTGGGGGAACCAGTGCAGGCTCTGCCCCCTTCCTGGAACCACCCAGTACAAGAAACTCTGTCCACATGGGTCAGGCTACACCACAGACGGAAGAGGTATTGCAGGGAAGAAAAAAGGCAGAGAAGGAGAAAAGAATATGCTCACATACTTAAGAAAATGCAGAATTCTCTTTGAAGTTCCTTTGGAGAATTTCCTGTTAAACAACAGTTTGATTTTTCAAATAATGCTGAGAGACCAGAAATTAAAAACACGTTTGACAGTCGGCTGCAAACAGAACAGCTGTCCACAACTTTCAGGATTGGCATCTAGTTAGAGGTACCAAACAATAAATAAAAGCTATAAATGATCCCAAAGCTTTTGTATTGCTGAAAAGTTGCACACATGACAAAGGCAACAACCATTTCATTTAACAATTTCACAATGCTTTCCAGGTATATTTCCACACAGGAATCAGAAGCTAATGTATATTTTTGAACAGTGGTGAAAATTTTTGAGAGGGCAATGGTCATAAGAAAATTCATTTCTTTGCCGTTTGTATTTTGAGTAAGYAAAACTGGAATCCGAGTACCGAGTGAAACAGCAGGAAGGCGTTGATGCAGAGAACAGTAATAAAATTGGAAGGATGTTCGACTTTGGATTCAGATCCATTTTTAAAGAGGGAGAGGGGGAAAGTTCCTGTCAGAAGCAGGATGATAAGGAAATCTGCAAAAATGGAAGAGAAGAAAAAAATCAAATTTAAAACTGGGACATGTTATATTTAATATTTTCTGTGCAGATATTGATGAATGTACGGTCTTGCCAAACCTGTGCAGGAATGGGCAGTGCATTAACACGATGGGCTCTTTCCGGTGCTTTTGCAAAGCTGGCTACACCACTGACATAACTGGCACATCTTGTAATGGTAAGATTCAGTCAATTAATCATAATTTATTATTTTCAATTGTTACTTAGTACCAACCTTTGTTAGCCTTGTAGCAAAACATTTTTTTTTCTCTTTTTCTCTTTTATGTCATGTCTTATATTTCTTTTCCTAATATGCACTTCTGTTTGCATATTTCCTTTGGGGAGATTGAAAAGCAAGCACTGCTGACAATATTCCTGAAGTAGAATGATCACTGAAGGTTATTGAAGCTGGATAGCAGTTTAAGGCACAAATCAGCTCATTACTTCGTGATTACATTTTTCTCACTTTTTTTTTTGGTTAACAGATACAAGCAGATCATAATATACCAAAAATAAATACTTGTTGCTTAGATGAAAATACCAATGCCACTGTCCCTCTAGTATATTTCTCTTTCAAGACAGACAGATTGTCATGGTTTTGACAACTCCATGTAAACTCCATGGCAGGACATTCATAGAGAAAGGAACCCTGAACAAATGTGAATCAGGGGCTTTTTTCTACAATCGTTTTTATCTTAAATGTGATGCTGTTTAGCAAACATCCTTTTGTCAAAGAGAGTAGGACAAAAGAGAACTTAGTATTTTCTCTTGTTAGATCTTGATGAGTGCTCCCAGTCTCCCAGACCATGCAATTTTATCTGCAAGAACTCAGAAGGGAGCTATCAGTGTTCATGTCCCCGGGGCTATATCCTTCAGGAAGATGGGAAGACATGTAAAGGTAAAGAAAGTTACAGACAGTAACTTTTAATTTGGCTGAAACTTGACTTAAAAGGAATTGGTTTTGAAGTGTGGTATTTTTATCAAATTAGACTAAATGTGCCTCTTTGTTGACCTTTTTAAAACAACATCTATTGCATTCAGATCTTGATGAATGCCAAACCAAACAACACAATTGTCAGTTCCTCTGCGTCAACACCCTTGGAGGCTTCACATGCAAATGTCCACCTGGTTTTACACAACATCACACAGCTTGTATTGGTAAGAAAAACATGAGTTTTCTTTCATTAGTTTTTCCTTAAGAACAGCATTCTCAATTCWTGTGTTACCTCTTGTGCTCTTTATAAAGAGCAGTAGTGTCAAGAGGCCAGAAAACAGATTTTGAAAATTAGCAATTATAGCTTAAGAAAAACATCAATCTTTTCAATCTGTCCACTSTTTCTGTTTTCTTGGCTAGTAAAGAGTTATACATAGTTCACACATGTTATTATTTTCTAAATGTAACCACATGGAGACAAAAGGGTGAATTATTAAAATCTCATTTGAAATGTAGTTAACCAAAACCAGACTGCATTTTCTGTTTTAATAGATACAGATGTCTTTAGATCTTAAGCATATGTATAAATCTTACCAACTGAAACTGTTTTAGTTCAGCTAACACAGAAAGGCAGTGCTTTTCCAATATCAGCAATTACATGCCAATTCTTCTATACTCATATCATAACTGAATTACAGCTTGCACTTCCAGTTTATTAAGTAGTTATACCTCCAGGTCATCTGGCATTTAAAAATAAAAAACTGCAAAAGAAAATGTTGCACCTCTGTGGATTTCATCCTATTAAGAAATGTTATATGAACATGTCTAAAATCATGCCAGAAGGTAAAGAGCCTTCTCTCTGCTCTGTGTTTTGAAGATAACAATGAATGTGGTTCTCATCCATCACTTTGTGGATCAAAAGGAATTTGCCAAAACACTCCTGGAAGTTTCACCTGTGAATGTCAAAGGGGATTTTCTCTGGATTCTACTGGATTAAACTGTGAAGGTAACTAGGAACAGTCAAATTTATTTATGAAGCAAATCCTTACTTCAGGTTTTTATTGAATCATTTGTTGTCAAAGGCAGATAAAACAGATGACCAACCACAGTAAAATTACAAAAAGAAATTGAAAGGTATTAGGATAATTTTAAACATAACATAAGCATATGCAAAAAYGCACTGCCTTGGGTAATTTTCACAGAAATTAGAATAAAAAGGTTACTGTCTAGTTGAACTCTTGAACTTGTTTTCAGGCTGCCACTTCAACTTCACATAGGTTTATGTAGCTCGAAGTCTAGTGATTTGGGTTTTTTTTTCCTTTTTTTGTCTTCATGTCAAAACAGAATCTCTCTACAATTTTCATTTCAGCTAATTGCAATTGTCTGTCTGAGGGTATCTAAGATTAAAGTCAAAATTCTATACTTTATTCTCCTATGACAGAGTTACACACTCAGGAGGCCAGTTCACTACATTCAGAAAGATAATTATTACAGTTAAAATGCAGGTTATATTTATCTTTCTCTGTTGTCTCAAGAAGAAGTCTCAGTCAGGAAATCTCTATTTGAAGCCTCCAGACTTCTCAGTGGGCCTCAGGTACTGAGCAAAGAAGGAAATAAAATGTGATAGAAGGCCACCTGGCTGCTGAGAATTACAAATGCAGGGACATACATGAAGAAATCTATGACATCTCAAAATATAAGCTACTCTGATACAGTGTTGAAAACAGRAATTCACATTTAGAGCCTGTTTCTAGAATAACAGTGCAGAACATATGTAGCTTGAAGTTTTACTAAGATTTATCTCCTATCAGTTCACTTTGTTCTCGTAAAATATATACGTCCTTGTGTGTCTAAAAGACAAAGGAATTTTTTTTTTTAATTTTTTTTATAGAATTGCATACTGTGCCTGAAAAATCAGGTTGCTTACAACTTACTTATTTCCTGTAGTGGAAAATATTTAAAATGTCTGAGCTTTTACATTTTGGAGGGTGGGGGGTGTTGCAATTTTCTCCTTTATTAGCACCYGTCATCAGAGATTTTCTAGGTGGCTCTTTATTTCCAGTTGCAGAGCCATCCAAATTTGACATTCAAGCACTACAATTAATTTCTGTAAACTGAAACCTTAGCCCTATGTAGTTGGTTTAAAACTGAAATTTAAAAAATCATTCAAATGCTAAGAATTATACCAAGCAACAGCATGTGGGATTACTGGGAAGAGTGTTATTCTCCAAATCTGAGTAATGTAATGGCTCAAGAGCTCAAATCAGATTATTAATAGAAAGCACTGAACATTAATTGATTTTTAGGCATTTTAAAGAACAATCTGAATGGTCTCTCTATTATACAACAGTACTCCCCTGTCATAAATCACAGATTCAAAAAATGRTTTGAAGTGGAAGGGACTTTAAAGCTCACCTCATTAGGGCAGGGACACCTTCCAGTGTCCCAGGCTGCTCCCAGTGTCCAGCCTGGYCTTGGACACTGCCAGGCATCCAGGGGCAGCCGCAGCYTCTCCGGGCACCCTGTGCCAGGGCCTCCCCACCCTCCCAGGGAACAATTCCTTCCCAGTATCTGGGTTAAATCTACCCTTTTTCAGTATAAAGCCATTCCYCCTTGTCCCATCATTRCWTGCCCTTSTTACAAGTCCYTCTCCAGTTCTCCTGTAKYCCCTTCAGGCACTGGAAGGGTCTCTAARGTCTCCCTGAAATMTTCAGTTCTCAAAGCTRAGCARTTCCARCTCTCTCAGCCTGTCTTTATAGAAGAGCTGCTCCATCCCTCTGACCATCCTGGAGCCTCCTCTGGCCTGGCTCCAGCAGCTCCAGGTCCCTCCTGCGCTGGCCCCAGGGCTGGGGCAGCTCTGCAGGTGGGGTCTCACCTGAGTGGGGCAGAGGGGCAGAATCCCCCCTCCCCTGCTGCCCACATGTAGCTCAGCCCAGGACACATTTGTTTTTTTGGGCTGCCAGAGCACATGGCTGGATGATAATAAAACTTCTGATGCACCAGTGTTTGGCAGTGGGTGTAATCCTGTTGTTTGTCATGTTCTGCTTCTCTCCTGAACAAATAGATGTGAATGAATGTGATGGAAACCACAGGTGCCAGCATGGATGTCAGAACATCCTGGGTGGATACAGATGTGGATGCCCACAGGGATTTATTCAGCACTACCAGTGGAATCAGTGTGTTGGTAAGGAAACAAACTGCATAAAATGCATTTAAACAGCAAAGGTGTCCAAGTGTTTACAGTGACAATGCCAGGCAAGGGCTAGAATGAACTGAACAAAGGGTATGCAAACACAAATCTTCTTTATCTCTCTGCCCCTCCTTCCATACACTTACTATTCCCAGCATAAATCAATGACGGGAGGTAACAAGAAAATACACTGACCTTTTGAAATTCTGTTACAAGTAGTTTTCCTAGTGTGGCCTAAATTCTGACCCCTTCTTGGAAAAATCCCCATCACGGAATGTCCGTTTAATTCCTGAAGGCATCAATGTGAATTGTTCTGTTGGGGAAAAAAAAACCATTAAAAATCATACTTTTCATTAAACAGAATTACTGTCATTAACAATTTAAGAAYACTACAGAATAGCATCTGAATCAAATGGTGAGAAAAAAAAAATCAACAAAACCATTAAGGRTTTCCTACTTCSAAAATACAGTCTTAAGGCCAACATYAGTTCTTTGTGCAGGGAATGGGACAAATTAAGAAACTTGGGAGTTCTGTTAAAGATTTACCTTATTCAATCACTTTGAATTTACCTCCATCACTTATTTTCTGCGGTTCATGAACTATGCTATACCACATACAAAATTCAGTGTGGGATTTTTTTTAAATAAAAACCAGTACACACAGAAAAAATGCCATCCTGTACTGTTTGCAAAGACCAATACAACATATTTATCTCTTAAGGTTTGTTTTCATGGTTTCTGTCAATGATACCATAATCAGAGAATGATTGTGAGCACTGCCATGCATGTCATGTGGGCTGATTCTACTATCCTGATTCCAGCCATAAGAATTAGTTTATTCTACCCATTTTAACACTGAGTTGCACACCAGGCAGTTTTTCTGAAGTCCCAACCACTATCATCACTCCTGACTTAATACTGCTCTTCAGCAAAGAATGCAAAGGACTGGGGTGAGAGTGGGAGAACACAAAACAAATAACTGCCACAAAACCCCAAATCAGCTCAGTTTTTTAATTACAGTCCTCAAATGAATCCCTCTGCAAGTGACTGTAGACAAGAACAGCAAAGCATTCACTAATGGTCTTGGCGAGGAAAACACCTACAGGGAAAGTACCTTGGTTGGAGGAATAAAATAACCATCATACCAACTATGAAAACACAACTTTCCATACTACAACCTGCTCTTTTTATTGCCTGAAACGAAATCAAGTCACACTGATTATTAAAGTGTCATTTTCTCTATATCTTCATGCACACAGTTGAAGATGATACTCCTTTCCTCTGGTTTCTGAGTTTGTTTTTTTGGGGGGAGATGATTTTTGTTTGTTGGTTGGTCTTTTGTTTTGGTTTTTTTGTGGTTTTTGTTTGTTTGGGGTTAGTTTTGGAGTTTTTTGGGTGGGTTTTTTGTTTCTTTTTTTTGGTTGTTTTTGGTTTGGAGGTGAGTTTTTTGTTTTGTTTCTTTGGTTTTGGGTGTTGGTTTGGGGTTTTTTTTTGTTTTTTTGGGGTTTTTTGTGGTTTTTTTTTGTTTGTTTTTGATTTTATTTTTTGGTTTTTGGTTTTTGTTGTTTAGATTGGCTTTCCCTTATCAGACCCAGCAGGTTTTACTACAGATAGTACAAACTTCTCACCATGGATGGGTTCCCAGGAACACTCCCGTGGTTAGAGTAAGCCTAGAATTACAGATTATTTCTCCTGYGTATGGTCGGGTGGTACATTCCCATCTATACCACCAGGTGGTAGAGAATCCCTAAGCAAAACTGGAAACAGGCATTGAAGGAAGGATGAAAACTGAGTGTATATAAGATTAAYAGTAACAGTATCATAAAATATCTTCTTAGCCCAGCTGCATGAGTTTAGGACTTTGACCAATGCACTGTTTCTTCAGAAACCAAATCTGTGGGATGATGATGTCAAGGATGTAGCAGAGTCCTAGGACTTGGCAGATGTTCTGATTTGTTAGCTGCATCATTTGTTAGCTGACCTGTTGTCTCTCAGACTAGAAAACACCAGTATTTGTTTGCTTACCAGATGAAAATGAATGCTCCAATCCTCACACGTGTGGCTCYGCTTCTTGCTACAACACCCTGGGAAGTTACAGGTGTGTCTGCCCATCCGGGTTTTCCTATGACCAGTTCTCCAGTGCCTGCCACGATGTCAATGAGTGCTCTTCTGCCAAGAACCCYTGCAATTATGGTTGTTCCAACACTGAAGGTGGTTATCTCTGTGGCTGCCCTCCTGGCTATTACAGAGTTGGACAAGGGTGAGTTTCTCCATGCAGTCATTCACCAAAGATGGGTTCAGAAAAGCTGGGCTGGGGAGCCAAGGTGCAAATGAAGGACAAGCTGCTAAGTCCTGTCYAGTTTTCCACACAATATCCAGAAACTAGATAAAAATAAACGCCTGTATATCCAACGTGGCATTCATTTTAAATGTAGCATTTAAACAACATTAAACAAGTTCTACTTTCTCCCCCAGTATCAGCATACAAACTCCTCCCCCTGCCCAGTGAGGACTTGTGATGCATAAGGATAGGTACCATCTGTACTGAGATAATTAAGGGTCTGAAGTATCACTGATCAATCCAGAACAATAAACACGAATTAACTTTATTCTGGTACAAAATAGTGAATAAATTCTGTAGTTCCCAAAGTTCAGGACTGGCTGGCTTTATTGAGTGTCTTTGTAGAACTTACAAAAAAAAATTAGATAAGGCTGTTAGACTTCAGGCAGTGTTTGTATTTCCCTCAATAACCCACTCCAGTGTGAAGGAAATCAATGCACAGCCTTCCTGCTGAGCAAAGGGCAAGGAAGGGGATAGAGACGGTGTGTACAGATGACACACACTCTGCTTACCAGGACAGCTCATAAAACCGCAGGGAGTAACTAAAACACGTGTTTTCATTAAACAGACACTGTGTCTCAGGGCTGGGATTTAACAAAGGCCAGTACCTGCCACTGGATGGAGATGCTGATGAGGAGAACGCTTTGTCCCCTGAAGCATGTTATGAGTGCAAAATCAATGGCTACTCCAAGAAAGACAGCAGGAAGAAGAGAAGTGCTAACACTGTAGGTACCGGGGTAAAAAAATACTATAATGTTCTTCAAGGTATTTTCAGAGATATGATACCATGRATAAATGGAGGGAATCTTTAAATAGGCCATGTTCAATGGTGAAAACCTTTTTTTTTTACCTTGCCTCACTTAGGTGCTGATGGCAGTAATAATTGACAATAAGAAACACATCAACAGGTGTGAAAGGATCAAGTTTTTTAAAGCTTGCAAAGATTCCTTTGTAGTATGAGATACTGTMCACTTCCTCAGAGTACAGTCAGGGAAATAATTCTCCTATAATTGCAGAGATCTAGGAAACTACTGATGTCTTCAGTATGTTCTGCTGCCAGGAGGAGGTTGGACAGCATTTATGRTCTGGGACAGCTAAACAGATCCTGCAGAAAATCATTTTAGTCTTGGTGTCTGTTCCATGGTTGCTCACAATGGTGGGAGATTGCTGGAGGCTGATAGACKGGTGGCTGACGGAAGTCCAGTATTTGCAGGATTGCTGAAGGTTTTAGAGAATTACACTTCAGAATTATTTATTTTCTTAATGCATTTTGTGGGTTTACAAGGGTAAGTTACAGGAACTGGTATCTAGTTTGCAATTGTTACTTCTTGCTATTACACTTTAATAACATCAACCTTGTCAATTTCTAGTGCTTTCTAGGCAGTAACATCCATGACCTATATGGAAAAATAAATGTTTTTTATCACTATTGTTATGTGTGGGGTTCAAAGAATTTAAAACACAGCATTACTTGCTTGTGTCAAAAAAATTTTATTTTCACCATACTATTTTAATTGTATTACATACTGCTGGTATACATCTGTATGGATGTAGTTGGAATTTTCAGAGGTTTCAGGGATTCCCATAGTGTTGYGAAATGTATTTCTGTATTGGGAGGATGGTCATAAGAATGTAAGAGCTGTGCCTCTTGTATGGTCTTTACTGCAGTAGTAAACACAGGTCTCTCCCTGCAGTGTTGCTTTCCTCCCTCCTCCTTTCCAGGCTGCAGTGCTACCTGASAAATGCTCATTAGGCCTTGGCCTTGAAAATTAAATCTGGCTTTTTGCTGATACCCTCGCTAATGATATTTTAAGCAATCTCCAACATTTGTTTGTAAYACTCCTCATCATGGCCTCTTTGGAAGCATGAAGTTAAAGTGGTTCTCAAAATAACCTGAAGTCAGAGCCTCCTGCTCATCAGCCTTTTCAGGCGCGTGTAAGAAGCCTTTAGGATTTACAGGGTGTGTTGCATGGAATCAAGGCAGAAACTGTTCATTATCCCCGTTATTGCCCTGTCCCGCTCTAAACGCTGTTTCCTCCTGCAGATGGAGCGGCGGAGCTGGGGCAGCGTGGGCACGGAGAGCCCGCTGACGGTGAGGGTGAACATGTCCCGCCTGCAGAGCGGAGAGCCCATCCTGCAGCTGCTGCCGGCGCTCCAGGCGCTGCGGCGGCGCGAGCGCTACGTCATCTCCCGGGGCAACGGGGGCGGGGCCTTCCAGCTGCGCGCGCGGGGCGGCGCGAGCGCGCTGCGGGCCGTGAGGGGCCGGGCCGGGCGCGGGGCCCACGGGCTGGAGATCCGCAGCGTTCCGCGGCACCGGCACAACGACCTCCGAGCSGAGCTGGGCCGGGCCCTCCGGGTAAGGCTCTGGGTGCACCTCTATTAATGGCCGTGTTCCAGAGGGAATGGGCGCATTCCGGCTCTTCAGCCGCTTGTGTTGTATCTACACGCCCGGGAGTATCTGCTTTTTTCAAAGTGCGTCTCCTTTGGAAAAGTGTGTTTTGGGGGAGGAAGGCAGAGGGGCAAGAGCCCTTCCTTTCCGTCCTGCCAAGACTGCAGAATCACCCTTTTTAGGGGGGGTGACTTAAACCCTGCCACTGCCAAAACTTCTACTACAARGGCAAATCATGGTTACTGTATCTTTTATATAGCCTCGATTTAAAGTATATTAAAAAACTAAAGGTCCAGAAGACATCATATGGCACTAAATGGCACAAAAATGTGAGCTATTTTTTTTTTTCCTATTAGCAGTCTGTAACACTTCGGGTATTTTGCTATAGTTCCTAATGAAAAAAATTATAGAAGTTTATTTATTTTTAATGCAGTAATATATGGAGAAAATAACAAATTATGTAAACAAAAAGGGAAACTTGATTGTTTTTCTTTACTTTATAAATTTGAGCTATAACATTTTAGAGGTACTTAATTAAGAAACAAAGAAGTAGATTTGAAAGATACTTTCTTTTCTACTTACACCAGTCATCCAAATAGTATATAAGTAATTCTGAAATATATCAGAGCTGAAAGATCACTGTGGTAGGATATTCTAAAGTGCTCTTATGTATGAGTTTTAAAAAAGAAGGGAAAAAAGTCATAGAGAACAAGTATCACAATATCAAGTCTGCAGAGATCATATTTCAYAGCAGTTCACTGGGATTGTGCTCTGAATCAACCACAGTAAAGTGGAAGAGACAACCCCTGTAGCAAAATACCTTGATTGTTTTTTGATCCCATTAGAATTACAGAACTAAACCATGCTCTCCTTCCCTCAGTGACCTCCAAGAGCCACACAAGCAACCCCACCTCATGCTCAGAAAAGGTGCTACACAAACTGGCATTAATTCCTGCAGGCAGCTGAAGGAAATGTCTTTTTCAAGGGAATGTTTCACTCTCCTAGGTGCTGGCTCAAAAACAGGGTGTGCTTACTAAACCCTGAGAGCTGTGTCAGGACTGCCATACCTGCAAACTTAATTATTGCAGCACTGGCGAGGAAAATCATGTATTTGAAGTGCATTTGTTAGAAATCTCATTAATGCTGTAGTTATACAYGCATCATTTTATCATAGCTTATTCTGTAAGGAAGATGATTGTACAATGACTTGAGTTTTAGTTTAGTGAATTTTTGTTTTTCTTTTTAAATTTTGTACTGTCATGTGTTAAGTGTCTGTCTCAGTGGTGCTTTCTGTGACAGCTGGTGCCTGTAACTGGCCATGCAACAGAATCTCACATGTGAAAATGGCCAGAGCTCATCCAGGATTGTTCCAGTTGCATATACGTGCTGACCAAAGACTATACCAAGTTAAACTCAGTGATTTTTCTTCTCTCTTSTTGAGTTTGGGGATTTTGAAAAAAAATGTTGTAGGAAAAAATGTTTTCTCTTGAACGTTTGTATCAGTAAGACAACACTTCTTGCAATAAAGCTTATTTTGGGTTAGTTTTTGTCCTTTTATTCTATTTAGAATTAAACTGGTGATTGATTTTAAGTAATAGCCAACACTGGCTGTGGTCTGGAACCGCATTTATTTGACTTTACTTTCAGATCTGGTGGTGCAAGTTTCTTTAGGATTCAAAGCTGCTTCTGGGAAAAACTACTGACATCTACAGAAATAAAAAGATCTTTAGGAGTCTGATAAATACATACAGGACAGCACGGCGTTTAAAGCTTTTCAGGTGTCATCAGTGACTTAGAAGAAGGCTAGTTTTTGTAGCCTTTAAGAAACTATCATCAGGTAACACCTGCATTAACTAATCACACAGTATGTACAAAGTACAAGAAATGCCTTATCCTTCTCTAGAAAGGCAGCATTGTCACCCATATTAAGTTGTTAAAGACAGTTATGCACAATCCCAGATAGAAGTTAAGCCCAGCTTCAAATCCATATGAAAAAATGTCTTGAATTAAAAGAAATCCAAGACAGAACCACATCCTTGCAATCCAGTGTGTCACAGTATGTATTTGTACACCCATTTATCCAAACTCTACATTTTAACAGTCCCTAGTCTTTTAATGAAAAATATTTAATGAGGAAGCTGACTACACATGCACAGGTAAGACTAGTGTTCCAGGAAKCTGCAAAACCCCCAAGCGTGTTGCTTACAGTAAAATGAAAATTGTCTTGTGTAAGAGTTGACAGTATCRATCTCTGGGCAGCCTGAAGCAAGGTTTTATTGACTTACGGTAACACTTAAGGTAGGCCTGGACAGCAGAGACTTCATCACATGATGCTATCAAAGTCTCGTCCCACTTTTTAATTCTCTTKAACACTCAACAGAAGATTGTGTATGGTGGTTTCTCCCACGAGTCGGGGAATGTCCCTCAGGGTCACTTCTCAAGGCTGAGTGAGAGATTTGCCCATGGTTTTTGGTACAGGTGAAWATCGTCAATCTCTACTTAACAGTTTAATATCTAGTTTTAATATCATGGCTTCAGACTCTTATAAAAAAATAAAAGTGCCCCTATATAATAGTTGTGTTGTCCCTGAGAAGTGGGATCTTCCACCCAATGTGCAAAGCCAGTAGACACAGAAAGTCTAGGTATTTGATTTATTTGATTTAGTTGTGGACAGAAAGGGGTGCTGGGTGCTAAATCTACAAAGCTAGAACTCCAAAGGCGAAAACCCCAGGTACATTTATAGCCTTCTATTTAGCCAGTATTATATTTGTTTCTTACCTACGTCACTTAATGTGTTATGCTGTGTACAGACAGAATTTTGATTAAGGTGTTTTTGTCTAATCATAATTTTTAAAAATAATTTATGTAATTCATATAAATATGCCTGGCTTGCCATCTTTAATCCCAAAGGACAAAGTAGTATAAAAGGCTCAGTGAGGCCCATACAATCCTTTAGACATAAACTGTTGGCATGACTAGCCAGAGGCAGTCAGTGTTCTAGAAAGGATTATGGGATTATTATATGGGATTTTATTGTACTGACTCGGAATCACCCATTAAACCTTGGATGAGGTCTGCAGGTGACAGCTGAAGGGTGTTTGTGTAAACCCACACAAGAATTTAGGAGTGGCAAKGCACTGCAAAACTAAACACAGCAAAAATTCCACTGCCTTAGGTGTATTTCTTAGTTTTTCCCATGTTTAATCAGTGAAGCTTAAGCACATAAACTAAACAAATATTTTTAACAAATTAATGTTTGTTGGTTCTAATTCTCTTAATTAGCATTCTCTGTGGTTGATTTCTCACTCTTCATGCTAATTTGGCCCACATTCTTTAGTGCTTCTATCTTTTTTTTTTTTTTTTTTCAGGGAACCTCCTAATTTTCCAGGCCTTCATCTCCTCTGTATCTTCTGGTTACGCCAACATTTTTGAAAAGTCATAATTTTGAGATCTCAGATTTCCAATCTTCAGCTCCCAGCTTCCTTAAACTTYGTTCATTGAAGATTGTCAGGGTTAGTGTTAGCAAAAGTAAGTTTTCAGCAATTCAGTGATCAAAGTAAGACCTGGTGAAGAAACCTAGTGCTRGCTAAAATTGGGGTCTGCTTCAATTAATTAAAACTACTAATTAAAACTTTGGAAAGTGATTTCCATTTCTACTCCTGGCYAAAACCAGATCTCCAGACACAAAAAATGCCACTGGGAGCAGATCTTTGGTGTGCCATCCCTTCAATGCCTCAAAAAGTGCCAGGGGTTTTTTGGGTACCTTTTAAAATCCTGTGACTGCAGATGTTTTTACAGAAAGTAAATATGCAATACTTTTCTGCAGTTTTGTCCTGTGCTGGTATTTCTGTACTGCTCATATACTTACAGAAATACCTGGTATTTCTGTGATTCAACCTATAGCATTTCTTCTCCAGTGTGTACTCAACAAACCACTGTCAGTTGCCACTAAGATTTGCCCCTGGGCAAGATTACTGAGAAGCTGCCAAAAACTCCAAAACATTTGAAAACAAAGAGCAWAAATACACATAGATCTAGAAAGACACTCCCTCTTCCCTGCAGTGATGAGAATTAACGAATTACTGTCACCACTACACCTGAATTCTGTAAATACTTTGGATTTTAGGCCAGATGGTGGAATTTACACCCAAAAAYCTAACGTATTCTCAAAGCCTGGCACTTGCGGTTTTGAAGTCAAAGAATAAATACTCATTAAAGAAAACTGGACCTGACCCAGTTCACTTATTTAGCAAAAATAATGCATTATATACCTAAGTGATGCGACTACAAGGCTCTGAGTTGTGTGAAATAATTTTCATATCCTTAGACYTTGTTGCTCTTCATGGGGAGAGTGCCCCACACAGGATGGGGAGGGGGAATATCAAATACCATCTGACCATAACATTCAAAGGCACATTTAATTCTTTTGAAAAACATCAGCTTTAAGGTAAAAGTGAGCACACAGAGCAACCATAATACCCACAGGCATACATTTCACTGTTTTTCTGTTTGATCCGGAAAAATTATCCAGCAGAAGGCTGAAAGGAGCTGACTAAAAACTTACCAATGCAGTAGAAATCCTGGTGAGCAGTTTACCCCCAAGGTTAAGAGGTAATTGAAGTGTTCTCCCCAAATCATATCACATTTCTGAAAGCCGTAAATCCTTAGAAATAACGAAAGTTTTGAGCATGTGAGGTAAGCGTTTGAAAACTGCTCCGACATAACACTGACAGGCAGAAATGGCCTGAGTCAGAAATGGCCTGAGTCAGGTGTAAACATCTAACATTAACGAGGAAAAGTTATGTGGTATGAATACAACACATCTGGTGTGCTTTAATTGGACAAGAAGCTTAGATCATAATTTTGTGCATGTTTCTGCCTGATTTTATACACAGCTAACACATCAGGAAGCAATCAGATCTGGGAATTTAGAGGCAAACTAGCAAAATCCAATAATTCCTCCCTCTTCCAAATGGCCTTTTGAACCTGTATAATCTTCATATTTTATGCTTCATTTCTTAAGACTGAAATGCCAGCACCAGTCTCCTGCTATTGAATCCTTCACATCCAAGCTGATCTCCTTTCCTATTTTAAGGTTAAAAACAATCTTCAGGTCTGGAGTGAAGTTTGCAATCCCACACCACCTGAYGGCCACTGAGTTCCTTTTTTTACCCCCATCTAAATTATTCATAAATTATGCAAACCCTAGCTTAACAACTTCTGTGTCACAATTTTTACAATTTTTTTAAATACTGTAAAATGACAGCTGRTGTTTGGCTGGATTCCTTCTTTCCAACTGTTTCAAACACAGCTGAGAGACTGAAAACCCATAGTTAAGAATCAAGACTCAGCTTGAAATGCCTCCCATGAGATAAGACAAAACCAAAAAACCCAAATACAGTATTTTTTTAAGGCCAAACTCACTACTGAGATACCTCAGGTCTCTGTCCCTCAATCTYGATCAGTAAGATTAATCATCACCAAGACAGTTCTGCCAACAGCACCGAYGCCTTTGGAAAGTGCAGCGTGTTTCTCCACTGGCCTCTGAACTTTTTAGGAAAGGCCCTTTTCTGAATCATTCACTGAATTCTTGGACACACAGTATTTTAGGTTTTTTTAATTTTAGTATGCCTAAAACTCAGTGAATTCCTCATGCATATCCTATTTTTACACAGACCAAGCACAGAGTGATGGTCTCAAATAGCTGCTCTTGAATTAGAGCTGAGCTTTGCTGGTACAGCTCATCTATTAATATCTCTCCATGGAAAATACCAAGGATACCAGACATGCTAGTAACTAGATGGATTGAATTCCTCTTCTTTCTTACCACATGATGCATAGAAATGCTGTTTCTAACTGTTACTAAGGATAATGAGATCTGTCCAGTCCCAAAACAGTTGTTTTTTTTGGCTAAACAGCAGCTGTCAGGGAATCCAGCTTCTAAGCCAAGATGAAAGTAGACGATGACAGTTTGAAAATAAATTTTATTGTTATAAGTTATTTTTCAGCTGCTGAGAACACAGATGAATTTTAWATTTTGTAAACACACCCACTTCAAAATATGAGAGTTTGTGGAATCTGGACRTAATCACAGATGAGTCTTTTTTCCTTCTGGTTGAACTGAGTCACACCTGCAATTCCTCAGCCTAAACCTCCTTTCCTGTGAAAAGGAGCCACATTTGCTTCAGGCAGCACCGAGCAGAAGGGGATTAAATGGCCTGACCTGGCTTCTGTGTTTGTGTCTGATGTCCTGGCTACTCCCATGCATTTCCCAGTTTCTACCAGTGAGAGGAAACCTGAGCTGCCCTTCCTCAGGACACATGTTCCTAAGGAAAGTGCAGCCTGGAGGACCTGCCCAAGAAAAACAAACCGCAGCCACCAGACCTTGAATGCAGCACCAGCAAAGCAAATGCTTGAAAAGCTCTTGTTCCTTTAAAGGAACATTAAACACCCATGAAGACATTGCTGCTGAAAAGAACAAAAAAAATACAGCAAGAGACAACATGAGAAGGGCATCAAATATGGACCTAACTTGGCGTGGCTAATAAAAAACAAACGAACAAACTCAACAGACCCATCCTTTGTGGAAAGCAGTGTTTATTTTTAAAGTTTCATGTTTTTAAAGATTAACACAGACAGAAAACAGKTTCAGTATCAATTTATCCACAGAACACGCAGAAATATTGCAGTCACCATGACAGATCTGCCTTTTCTGTTGTTCAGAGTACCTTCCAAAATGAATAAAATAGGAATTTCTTCTATACATGAGAAGAAACTGCTCTTAATTCTCACAGTTCTTCGTCTCTCTTCAGACTAACAACATCAGTTAATAGAAATACCTTTCTTTGTGAAATAACCATCACTTTCCTAGGAAAGCTTAGATTTGCTTTTGTTTAGTGTTGCTACCTAATTAACCACTCTTTTTTTCTTAGTTTTTCACTTTCAGCTGTGTAGTAGCATACAAAGAGCTGTGCATCCGGATGTATAATGCAGTGTGCACCAAACAAACTGGTCATGGGAGCAATCAAGAGCAAATATTCTTAAGCGACCCAAAGAAAAAACAGGATTCATTAAAAATCAAGAGGGAGCAGAATCCAGAATAAGTCCATGCAAGCTGTCAAACCACCAAAACTTTCAATGATGCAAGTAATATTAAGCATTCTGTAACTAAATGGTTTCTGCTGAAAAAAAAGAA